TATTGCTACTCCTTCCTTCCTTCCTTCCTTCCTTCCTTCCTTCCTTCCTTGTGCCGCAGTGGTTAGAATGCAGTATTGCAGGCTGACTCTGTCCTTCCTCCCTCCCTCCCTCCCCTCCTTCCTTCCTCCCTTCCTTCTTCCTCCCTCCCTCCCTCCCTCCCTCTCTTATTCCTGTCTTCTTGGTGCCGCAGTGGTTAGAAGGCAGTATTGCAGTCTGATTCTGCCCACTGCCAGGAGTTCAATCCTCACCGGCTCGAGGTTGACTCAGCCTTCCATCCTCTCAAGGTGGGTAAAATGAGGACCTAGATTGTTGGGGGCAAAAGGCTGACTCTGTAAACTACTTAGAGAGGGCTGTGAAGCACCGTGAAGCGGTATATAGGTCTAAGTGCTGTTGCTAAGGGCTTCTTTGCCTGTTTGGCTTCCCAAACACATGAAAAGAGGGCAGGGAGTCGATCCCATCATTGGGGCCACCTTGACTCTTTTTTGGACCTCGCCTCCCTGGAAGAATGGATTGAATGCTTAATGGACGATTCAGCACTGAATGAGCGATTTCCCTTTTATTGTTTGATGTCCTTCTGGAGAGATGCACCTGTGGTGACCATGGAAATGTGTCGGTTGAGCCGTGGGGCAACGTGGACTTTGCGTGCCGATGGTGCCGTATCACATAGCATGTCAAAGATGTGGAGATCTTGGAAAAAAGTGCAGAGAACAGCAACTAAGGCCATTAAAGGGCTGGAGACTAAAACATATGAAAAATGGTTGCAGGAATTGGGTGTGGCTAGTCTAAAGAAAAGAAGGACTAGGGGGGACAGGATAGCAAGTATTCCAGTACTTGAGCGGCTGCCCCAAAGCAGAGGGGGTCAATTTATTCTCCAAAGCACCGGAGGGCAGGACAAGAAGTAACAGAGGGAAACTTATCAAGGAGACAGCTGACCTTGAACTGAGGAGAAATTTCCGGTCATGAGAACAATTAACCCATGGAACGACTTGCCTCCAGAAGTTCTGAGTGCTCCATCGCTGGAGATTTTTAAGATGAGAATGGACAGCCACTTGTCCAGAATGGTATATGGTCTCCTGCCCAAACAGGGGGGTGTTGGCGATTTCTCTTCTCTTCTCTTCTCTTCTCTTCTCTTCTCTTCTCTTCTCTTTTCTCTTCTCTTCTCTCTTCTCTTCTCTTCTCTTCTCTTCTCTTCTCTTCTCTTCTCTCCTCTCCTCTCCTCTCCCTTCTCTTCTCTTCTCTTCTCTTCTCTTCTCTTCTCTTCTCTTCTCTCCTCTCCTCTCCTCTCCTCTCCTCTCCTTTCTTCTCTCTTCTCTCCTCTCCTCCTCCTCCTCCCTCTCCTCTCTCCTCTTTTCTCCTCTCTCCTCTCCTCTCCCCTCCTCTCCTCCTCTTCCCTCTCCTCTCTCCTTTCTCCTCTCCCTTCTTCTTCCCTCTCCTCTCTTTTCTCCTCTCTCCTCTCCTCCTCTTCCCTCTCCTCTTTTCTCCTCTCCCTTCTTCTTCCCTCCTCTCTTCTCTTTTCTCCTCTTCCCTCTCCTCTCTCCTCTTTTCTCCTCTCTCCTCTCCTCTCCCTTCTTCTCCCCTCTCCTCTCTTCTCTTTTCTCCTCTCTCCTCTCCTCTCCTCTCCCCTCCTCTCCTTCTCTTCCCTCTCCTCTTTTCTCCTCTCCCTTCTTCTTCCCTCTCCTCTCTCCTCTCCTCTCCTACTCTTCCCTCTCTTTTCTCCTCTCCCCTCTTCTCTCTTCTCCTCTTTCTCTCCCTTCCCCTCTTCTTCATGAAATCTGCTAGTCAGAAAAGAGGCCACCAAACTTTTTTTTTTGCTCTCTTTAGCACCATTGGAAAGGCCAAGCCAAGCGATGGCCAAGAATAGGACAAGACTGCCCTCTGCTGGATAAAGAATTTATAAACCCGATTAGCTTTTTTTTTTGTGTCATCATTTTTGTGTCATCTTCCGTCCGGCTTCCAGACAGGAGACTAACACCCCCCCCCCCACTCTTCTGACCTCCATCATTCCCAACCAGATGATTGGAAATGACAAAGCGGGAAGCGCAATCTGTCATGCGACGGAGACCTTTAACTCTCTTCGTTGGGAACTCTGAAACTCAGCCGTAACCCATCCTGACCTGTCTTTTCTATCGGTGCTGGAAAAGATACACGCCTTACAGAATAATAGAGCTGGAAGGGGCCTTGGAGGTCTTCTAGTCCAGCCCTCCCAGTCAAGCAGGAGACTTTATGCCATCCCAGACAAGTGGCTCCCAGGTCTCTTCTTAAAAACCTCCGACTTTTTAATGCTACCTTTTCCCGACAGCGATAATTCCTGCATTTTATCCATTTCCCCGATCAACCCTCTCTGGCGCGGCCTCTTTGAAGGCCATAAAGCAAACTTATTAAACTAACCGCATTCAGGGGGGGAAAAAAGTCTTCCATCAAAGGGCCATTCCCAGCCACAGACTCCACGTCTCCCTATGCTCTCTCTCTCTCTCTCTCTCTCATGTAATTTTAATGAATGTAGAAGGGCTATAGAATTAATATCTGCTGCAGCTAAAAATGCGACTGGTCTTTTAAAAAAAGGGCTGAGCAATTTTGCAAATTGATCGTTCCAAAGTGGACCCCGTTGTCTGTCTGGGTCAGCTTCCTCCTCTCTTTAGCCCTAACTCATTCATCCCTTCTTCTACTGCCTGCGAGGGGATATAGAAACATATCGTACCGGTAATGAGTGAAAAGCTGGCTTTGTATAGAAAGGCTGGGAAATCTATAGAATGTGGGACGTTTTCAGGCAGAGGAGGAAATCTATATATATATATATTTTTAATATGCCCTACTTTCCCCAAGGCATTGTATATAATCCCCCAGGCATTGTGCAGAACGAGGACATTGTGCAGAACGAGGACATTGTGCAGAATGAGGAGCTTGGATAGCTCAGCAGACTAATGCATTGTAATTTAACTCCAGCTGCCTGCAATTACGGCAGGTTCGAATCTCGCCAGGCTCAAGGTTGACTCAGCCTTCCATCCTTTCTAAGGTAGGTAAAATGAGGACCCAGTTTGTGGGGGCAATAAGCTGACTTTGTATAAATATACAAAAGGATGAAGGCTATTGCTTAATGCATTGTAAGCCGCCCTGAGTCTCCGGAGAAGGGCGGCATATAAATCAAATTTAAAAAAAAAAATGATAAGGATTATTTAGGCGAAGTAGGAAAAAGAGACCCAAAAATGCTTTTTTTTTTTTTTTCAAGAGGCAACTGGACTTTCTGGTTTTTCTTTGAAGATGTTTCACTTCTTATCTAAGAAGCTTCTTCAGTTCTGACTGGACCAAAGAATGGAAATTCCTTCTTTATTTCCAGGTTGAATCTCTCCTTGTTCAGTTTCCATCCATTACTCCTTGTTTGGCCTTCGGGTGCTTTGGAAAATAGCTTGACCTCTTCCTCCTCTCTGTGGCAGCCCCTCAAATATTGGAAGATGCTATCCTGTCTCACCTGGTCCTTCTCTTCACTGGACTAGCCTGGCCCAGTTCCTGCAACCGTTCTTCGTATATTTTAGTCTCCAGTCCCCTAATCATCCTGGTTGCTCTTCTCTGCACTCTTTCTAGAGTCTCCACACCTTTTTTATAGATGGGCCTGACTAAGACTTTTTATAGGGGTATTAGTACCTCCTTTGATCTTGATTGTATCCCTCTGTTAATGCAGCTTAGATCAGATTAACAGAGTTGGAAGGGGCCTTGCAGGTCATCTAGTCTGACCCCCTTACCCAAGCAGGAGACCTTACATCTGCCTCTACCTAGGATCGAACTCACAACCTCCTGATTGTGAGGCAAAAGGCCCACCTCTAGGCCACCGCAGCTGAGTATGCCATCTATAAAAGGAAAAAAGAAAAATCCCTTTCATTGAACAGGGCGTAAAATAAGAGGAAGGCAGCCATGCCACCGCGAAGGCAGTAATTAATTCACCACATAGCACGACGGGCATTCGCCTCGCCCTGTCAGGGTTTTGGCGGGAACGATCATTGGTGCCTCAATTTAGGCTGCTGGCGGGCGGAAGAGCGGCTTCCTCGACCGCAGACGGCTGGAGAAGGCCGCCTTCCCTCAGGATGGCCAGCGAGGCCGCGAGGCCTGCCCTCCTGGCCGAAGAGAGCGCTCCCGCCACCCGAGAGAGAGAGAGAAAGAGAGAGAGGCGCGC